TTTTTGTTATTATTATAATATATATATATATTGTTATTCTATATACACAGACAGACTCGATAAGTCAGCCGCATAATTTATACTATTGAGTACTTTAAACAATTGATTACTGCGGGCTGACTTATCGAGTCTGTCTGTGTGTAAAAATCTAGCCAAGTTATGAAGAGTCTATAAAAGGTTGTTATCTATACTAATTAGGCGATAATAAATTTTACCACTATAAAATCAATAATAATAATAATTGATGCATAATTTACTTTTATTGCATGCATTGCCGTATAAAATCATAGTCCCCTGTGATGGACAAAATATCCGGTATGATAGCTAGCTTTGAAGTTTTTGAAAACTACTTTAAAAATATATTACGTGTAACATTTAATATTTTTGGTACATAATTTAAAAAAATAATAATGGGAAAATAGATTACACACAAATGCATTCTGCATGTAAGATTTTTAATGTTATACAATGAAAGGATATTTTTTTTTAATAAATTTTATCCCTTAAAACTTTGTTGGTCACAATGTATTTACAAAACTCTAATCATGAACAAACTTGAACTTTCGAATGATTCCAAAAGCAAAAGTTAACTTATACCAACCACCACATTTTTAGAGAACATTTCTGAAGATAGTGATGTCATTGAGGAGGAGGAGGAGGAAAATGAAGAGCCAAATACATAAAATTGTGTTCTAGTTTACATTTTCCAACTTGGAAAGTTAGTATAAAGTATATTAAACAACAAGGATTTAAAACGAAAATAAGTCCTTGTTTGAAGGTACCATTAAAGAAAGAAACCATCTTAATCACAAAGAACAAACCGTAATTGACATTTAAATCTTTTGCGTCCTATCAAAAATAATCCAAATGGCCTTATATATGGTGTGCTATAAAAGTTTGCCTAAACTAAATTGTGATGATGCAGAAACTAATAATTTGAAACTCAGTTACTCTGCCGAAACTCAATCACTGTGTCAAAGCTATAATTTGTAGCCAAAACTTCGATTTTTGTTGAAACTATTTTATAATAATTAGACATTTTATTTTGAAACAAATTAATTATTGTTGAAACACAAGAAATTTTATTATTATTTTTATTATGCAGAAGGTGTTATAATTCTTTGGTTACATTGGTATCAACAAAGGGTAAGTTAGACAAGGTGTTTGCTTTGGGAGATTTTGGTGTTGTTGGAAAATGTACTAATTTTCATACCATATTCTGGATCATTATCTTCTTAATCTAAGTTTATGATTTCCAAATCTGATAATCTTCATTAGCTATGTAAGCACTCTTATTATTCCCACAAAGCAAGCAATGAATAGATTAGGAATTACCCAAGAACACATTTGCTTAGCTTTATTGATAATATATTTAGGAAGATACTTCTCACGCCTTCATTTTCAATTTTGTAATTTGTAGATGATTCTCTCCAAAAAAATTTTATAACATAAAAAATGATTTCTTTTCAGCAAGCTTGATTAGTTTAAGGACAGGATAATATCTTTATCTTTAAATAAAGAAAGGAAAAAGATTTTTAATTTTTATTATTTGAATGCGCGCGTTTATAAATTTATGTGTAACAAAAAAATTTTCCCGTGATAAAATCTCTCTAATTGATGAAATTATTTTTTTTGAAATAATAATTCACTGATTAGTTTTGAAATGGATGACTACAATATTTGGACTAGTATGGACATAAATGAAGTTAATGTCTCTCATTTATTATGTGTTAAATATCCCAAAGATGAAAAATGGAAACAGATACTTGAAAAGCTCAAAGAAGAGAACTTGGAGTGTAGAGTTATTGAAAAAGGACGATTTGAAGGAGTTTGGTAAGTTTGCTTTTTTTCCTGAAATTTCCATGAAAATAATTCTTATTTTTTATTTGTTATTATATTAATAGGGTTTCACTTGAAATAGGTAATATATCTTTGTTATACTTTTTATATTTAAACAATTATTAGTTACTTAAATTTATGATTGATTAGCCAGGAAAATTGCTTTAAGACATGGAATCTATGAAGATGTGAAATTTATGTTAGAACCAGAGAATACTTCACCTGATCAATCAACAAAACATTCAAGGATAGATGTAAATAATTTTAATAGTGACGAATAAACTACATTATTAATATTATTATTAGTATTAATAGTTATGTTTCTTTCTTTTGTGAAATAATATAGAATGCTTGTGAAGTTGGTTATAAATCAAAAGTCAATTTAAGATCTGATGCAATAAGAGATTTATTAGAAAGTCAAGAATTATTATTCCAAGGTCCTGTTATCTGAGTAATTAAAATCATTATTTTTTAATTGTTAAAAGTAAATAACCAAAAAAAAATAGCAATGCATATAATTACATGTTATATCAAGAAACAAATTTATTATAAATAACATATATAAATTTTTTAATATTGAGAGTTTTATATGAAAATCCATGGATTTTTACCCCAAAATTTTGTGAAGTCAAGGTCCACTTAATCAAGACATGCTTGCATACATATCTACAATCAAGGTTTGGCTTATTTGTTACTTACCTTCCAACCTGAATGGTTGGAAATTCTTAGATTCTTCTTCAGCATCCTTGGTGACATACAATCACATGACTTGATTTCTCTCTTCATGTTTATAACATGTTAGAATTCTCCCACTACTAGCTTGGTGGCAGTATGTCACTTCTTCTTCTTTACATTACTTCTTCAAATATGTATTGATCACCATTGTGGATCACATACAGTAGTCTACCTGCATGATTAGGTGGGCTATTTCTTCAGCCATGTTTGAGATTTGGAGCAATAATTACATTCTATCCACTCTTCCTGGAAGGTGGAGTTCTTTGATCTAAATGAGCATCTAATCAGTTCCAGTATTAAAGGATACTTACTAATGAACTGGTTTCACTTTGTTAGATATCTAAGTTAGTGTTGTTTCCAAAACTAAAGAGTTTTGCAACCATGTGAAAGTCAAAAGGTTTCACCATAAGTCGAAACTAGTTTTGATTTTTGACTATTTTTTGATTTAGTTTTGACACAACTTTTAATTTTAGTTTTGACTCTTGTCTCCTCAAATAGCTTTGGTGACCAACACTAATAATCTAAGTACATTTTTGAAATAAAAAGTTAGTTGCCAAATTAAATAAATAAAATAAATATTTAGTATAGATAGTTAGAGAGAGGACCATGATCTTAGTTTTTTATCTTTTACTTTCTGCAATATGTTGATAAGAAAAGATTGAGCTGTAGTCAGATTTTCATTTAATAAAAAATTCACAAACTATTTGAGAAGGAATATAAATTGTTGTCTCCATCATAAAAACTTCTCCAATCCTATGAAAAAATGATAGAAGAATTCAAGGATGGGTTAATATAGAAAAGAGTAAAAAGATGAAGGATGGTGATGAAAATGATGATAATGATGATAATGATGATAAAGAAGATAAAGATATTGATAATACAATATTATTAATAATTATTATAATGAAAAATAAAAATAATAAAGGAATTTCCACCAGTTTATATGCATCAGTTGAATCAAAATAAAATAAAATTATTTCTCCTTTGCTTTCCTTGTATGTGATGTGCCTTTGCTTCTGTATATTGGATCATATGTTTATGATTATGTAATAATACATTTGATGTTGATATATGTGTTTTCTTAAATTTATAAAGGAAATAAAACAAATAATTGGATTCATTACTCAAAGAAACAATGATAATACTAAGAAACCAATTTCTTAGTGCCTAGAAAATAAAATTGCCCAATAGAATTGCAAGTTGTAAAGAATCACTTCCAAATATAAATAAATAATATTGAATCTAATATAATTAATGAATGATCTTAGGTGTTAGGTCCAATAGCAATATCATTTATGCTCTTGTCAATATAGGAGGGCTTCAAACAGGTTCTTTCAACAATTTCCAGCAACCTTCTTGAGATGTTCTTGAATAAAATAATGAAGAAAGAACCCATATGTGTATTTTCAAATTTCCTAGACAACTTCCCCATAACTTGGAATGGTCATGTCCTTACAAGCTAAAAATACAAACATATAATTTGGCTTATTATAAAGGATTGTCACTGGCTAATAAATTTCTGGGTTTGAAAATTTGGAGCAACTTGTTATATATTTATATCTTCAGGGAGGCAGAGAGATGCTGCAATTGGATGAGCCTAAATTTAACCAAATTTCATTGGAAATTACCTTAATTATTTCTAATCAACTTTTTTACCCTCAAATAATCTGACTGAAATTAGCCCTAAAAAAATAATTTAACGTTTTTAGATATTTAGTTTTTTTTTGTAAACATAAATATATGGGAATCTCATTTGATTAATTGAAAATATTCCTATTTAATGAAATGCGAATGAACTTTGATAAATTTACATCACAATAATCTTAAAATGAAAAACATACTATGAATGTTTATAATGCGCATATAATGGACGCATATAATAAGCCATTGATTAGCATCGACAATCAAATGATCACGGATGAGGTTTTAATCTGGGGTCCTCGTACAAACTACGCACGAAGTCATTACTGTGGAAAACCAATTTATTTAATAAATTTTATTGTAACATAAAAGGAATTCATAAATATATGAATAAAATAAAAAGAGTGAATAAAGTAAAAGAACGAATAAAATAAAATAGAATAAAGAGAATAAAAGAATGAATGGAAGAGAAGGAAAAAGGGAATAAGGAACGTATGAAATATTGTAATTAATAAATAAATAAAAATTTGGTCAAATTAAATTCTTTTTTTATAAATATTAATTTATAATTTAATCTAACTTTAAATTAGCAAATGATAATTTTTTTTTACATAAAAATAAATTATTATTTTTGAACATATGAAAAAAATGCCTGTGAAAGTGTAAAATAATCAAATAAAAATGAAAACTATTAAGCATTTTGAATATTTGAAATAGGAATGCAATATAAAATCGTTGTTGAGTAAAATATAGTAACAACCATCTATCATTGATTTAATACTTAGCTAATCCTCTTCCTCTGCATTTTTTAGCCAATCAACAAAAACCTTGCATTTCTTTTTCACATCACTAGTATCTTTTGCGCTTTCATACCATTTGTAAATTGAATCTTCATCAACATAATCTTTATCATAAAATGTTTTATATAACATTGGTGATTGTTTCACCCATTTCTTGTTACGTTGATTTAAAAATTTTTCCCAAGCTCGAATAAATATAATTTGATCTTGCGCAGAACAAATGAACTAAATTTTATTTGTTAATTATTTTGAGGAAATAACATTTAAAAAAAATACATTATAAAATAATTGTTCAATAAATACTTACTGTTTTAAATAATTTTTTTTTTAGATCCAAGTCTTTAATAATATCATCCCAAGTAGCGTCATCGTATAAGCTTGGAAGCAAAATATTGAATAATTGTAATTTGGATAAATCTTTCCTTGTTTCCATGAGGGTTACCTCTTTGATTTCTTCCAATATTGTTTTATTTTGTTCTTTTGATTGAACAAAGAATTTCTTCAATTCTAAAATCAAAACTTCTTCTTGTGATTTCTTGTCAACATTTGTAACATTATGGTCGGTTTTTTTACTAATTATTTCATCAAAAGAAATTAATTAACATGAACATATTATTGTTATTATTAATTCATTTCATAAACATATAAGCATTACAAGTAGTTTGGTCGAATTACAAGTATTATAATTACATTTTTCCCAATTGTTCAATTTCCATATTAGTTAATTCAACCACTTCAATCCAGGGCTTTTCATCAACTAAATCATTTTTATTGGGTTTAAATAAATTTCCTACATGTGGTTTGTTAGTAGATGATGATGTTGATGTTGTAGTTGATGATGTTTGATTGCTGCTGGATTGTTGCACAATAGCCAATTCCCCTTTTTGATGTTCACTAAAATCTTCATTAGTATTGGTACTTGTGTTTGTAACAATAACTGATCCTACACCCGTTGATACAGTCTTGGTTTCGCTTGAAATATTGATTTGACCATTATCTTTCTTTTTCTCGATATCACCGCCCTCAACAGTGTACTCTTCTGAATCTTGTTGAACTTCTGTTTGAGAGCTGTCGTATTTTTGGTTTAAAAAACTCCCCTTTAGTCCATTATAATAAATTGGTTATAAAAAGAAATAAATATAAAAAAAAATATACCTATTGTTATTGGTTAAATTATTTTGAGTAGAAGTAGGTGTCAATGGTGATGATAAAGTATTAATTTTAGCAAAAATTCCATTTTGAATTTCAGATCGATATCCTCCTGATCCTGATCCCATATTTAATCCAGGACTAGAAGGACCGACTCTTTTAGTTGAATCATATCCATTCATCATATTGTTATGACGCGATTGACGAAGTTGTGGATGTTGTTGTTGTGAGTAATCGTTAGGATGATGTTCATGAGGTTCATGAGATTCGGAATCGCGATTATTAGTGTTGTTATTATTATTATTACGGGGGTTAATGACATTATTATTGCCATGAACGGCCGTAGTGTTGTTAGTAGTGGTATTAGGTTTTTCTTTAAGTTCATGTTCACCATGAGCAAAATTACATTTAGGACCATATTGACAAAAATTCTCTTTCATGAATCTTTCACATAAACGAGTTTTGTACAAAGGATTTTCTGGTCCATCCTTTACTGTAGGCAAACTAGATTTTTCTTCAACAGGAACGACAAGCCTTTCTCTTAATTCGCCTGCACCATGGGCAAAAGTACATTTAGGTCCATACGGACAAAATTTTTCAGTTTCAAATCGTTCACATAAACGAGTTTTATAGAGAGGATTGTCTAATTGTGAAACTGGTGATTGAAGAGGCAAAGAGCCATTGTTATTATCATTATTAATACTGTTGCCACTGTTGTTATTATTACCAATTTTCTCTGAGCGATTATTGTAGTGGTGATTACTAGCAGAATTATTATTGTGACCACCATTATTGTTGTTGCCACGATTTTCACGTACATGTTCGAACCTTTGTCTTGATATTGCATGACGTTGAGATTCTAAAGGTAAAGCCATATTTAGATTCTTCAAATTTGACTCTATCCTATCAGCAGTGTTATTTTTTTTATCATTTCTAATAGACCATTGTTGTAATGTAGAAGAATCATATTTTTTTGATGGTTTATTGGCCTCAATAAATGCGTGTGCTTTTTTGATAACATCCTGCATACTCTTATAAAGAACTTTTTCGGTAGCATTATAAAGTTGAAGCCATGCAAAGTTAAGCCCTTCGCCAGCATTACTGTAGATACGGTCATGATCAGTCACTTGAGCAAGATAATAAACAACTCTTTTAGGTCTGAAAACCACCAGGTTTTAAAAACCTATGATTAATCATTAATATGTCTTATATAATTTTTTAATCATATATATATAATTTTTTTTTTATTTGTTTAATATAATAAAAATGAAAAATGTAATGTTCAATTTACCGCGTTTCAGAAAGATAGGTAATTTCAGCTCTAAAGCCTTCTTCGATTCTTATATCTTTAACCGAGAGACCAGTGATTTCGATTGTGTTGCGAAGAGCACATCTGATTGATCAATGCACCAAATAAAAATCCATCAAATAAGAAAGAAATCTTAAAAAAAATTTTTTTAATTTTGATTTTTTTTTTTTAAATTAATCAATTTTTTTTTTGTTACAAAAAAAAAATATATATGTCCAATTTGTTGTGACATATGTGTTATATTTTATCAATTAAAAATAGATTCAATTATGAATCAATTGTGTTTGTTCTTTTGCTCATAAATAAATAAACTAAAAATTTCGATTTTCAACTAAAGAGAATTTCAAAAATATTTTTGAATAAAACTACCGTTAAGGAGAAAACTCACTTTACTTCGTCTTCTTGTCTAATAACTCTGCCCTTTGGTGCAGTCCAATGTCTTTTGTTAGAAAAGGTGTCGTTTAATAATAAAAATTCAATATGACGTTGTATGCGGTATAAAAGTATTCCTGTAACATGTAGAGGTTGAACCTTGTTCTCGTCCATAAGCAAGGGGCACAGATGCAAAAGATTCAAAGGCTTTGCTTGAAAGCAAATATAATTTATTTAGTTAAAAAAAAAAGGTTGATGTGTGTCTTTCCTTTAGATCCGATCACTAACTAGTGGTAATTGTTGCTAATCTTGAGAAAATTTTTAATTTAAATATTTTGTTTATATTTAATAATTATAGGATTTTTTAAACTTTAAAAAAAAAATTTCAAAAAATTGTGTTGGTTGGTATAACAACAAGTCTTGCATTTGTCACGCAAAACGATTGGAGTGTATTTTCCGAAAATTTCTAATTGGAAGATAAACCGACGCCATTATATTCGGTGTCTAAATTGTTTTGCACATTTCATTAATTAAAATTTGTCCAATAGTAATAAAAAAAAATCTAGTTTAAGAGTCAGAGTAAAGATTAATATACGGCAAATTTTTGTTTATATTTGCAACCATATAGTGGTAGGTAAATCAATATGCAACTATAATTCAAATTTTACAGAAAATTTTGAATTAACAAAAGTTATGATTGAAGCCTGCCATGAATCAAATAGAACAATTTCATTCAATGCACATGATAATTATATAGTTGATATTACTTCTAATTCAATCGTTTTGGAAAATGCACAAGAAGATACCGAGTTAAATTTAATGATCCAGATTCAACAATAACTAATCAGGTCAGGCTTGATGCAATGATTATTATTCAAAATGCTGTGCCACTTTATCCCAATATAGGTTTTGCGGTTCTTTAACTGAGTACATTAGTCTATCCAAATACAGGGAATCCTCATTTCACCCTGTATATACATTTGAAATCCTGTCACTAGTATTCTAATTTTTCTAAAACATAATTAATATAACCAAATCTTAATATTTTGCAATTAGATCTCAGGCATCTTTCATCATCTTTATTATTATCATCCGCTCCCATCAGTGTTGTACACGGGACATGTCCGCCTGGACACGAACACTGTACAAAAATGTCCGCGTAACAATTTGTCATACGAACGTATCCGCTCATTTACTTAAATGTCCATATGCCCGGGACTAGCAGCACAAGCCACAAGTTAATGCAACATATTATTAAAATCAATATTAAAATAAATCAAACCTTTTGTAGAGCATATGTTAAAAAATTAGGAGAAGAAAAAATGGTTTCAAATAATTCACGAAATATCCTAATTTAAATTGGGAACAAGTGTCACTTTTTAATTATCAATCAACCAGGTAATTAAAAACTAAACAATTCCATATTAATAATTCAGAGCCTTGCTTAGAGTAATTAATATAAATTATTTTTTTTACAAATAATTCGTTTTGTAGTAAATATTTTCATAATTTAATAAAACAAATTAATCAATAAAGAACTTTTGTGGCCTGAATTAAACATTAGGGTTTGATTTCTCGTTTGGTTACTTGCTTTGAAGGTTTTGTTTGGATATTTTGCTTTAGTAAAGAAAACATTTTTGGTTTTTGTTAAGCCTAAACGTTTTTGTTTAATTTTTTGCAAACGGGTTTAATTGTCTAAGTGTAAATGTAAGTGTTTGTTAAGACTGATTGGCAAAAGTATTAAGTGTTAATATTAACAGTTATTACTGATTGACCATCTATACAAAAAGCTAACAGTTATTGACAAAATACGTTATCACATATTGATTATTTCGTTAAAGTAATTGTTGCAAACGTGCGGCTTCAATCGGCAAACGAAAAAGGAACTCTATAGGAGCCTTTGTTGCTTCGTAGAAGAGCCGTCTTTATTCATTGTAATTTGTTCTTAATTGTATCATAAAGTGTGCTTAAAGATTCGCCAAAACTTTCTAGATACAAGAAAGAGGCAGTAGGATAAATTAATTGACGATCATTGAATATAAAAACTGCGATTAATGCTAAAAGGCTGGTTTGAAACTCGACCAATAATTGAGTATGACCAAAAAGCTATCCTCGCATTATTCACAAGCAAAATTTTCATTTTTTTGTCAGGGACATTTAAAGTGGCGGACACGGACACGGACACGGACAGTCCACGTCCGTGTCTATACTTGCCGCCCACACTATGGAGTATGGGTCGGGCTTTGAGATCAGTAAAAATCCCATATTCCATATTAACCAATCAGATTTTCGTCACACCATTAAATAATTTGATAAATGGGAAAGATCGACATAATATAAGAATAGCCAGAATCAGTTTTTACGTCCCATTTTAATTGTAAATCTTTAGGTGAAAACAAAGCCAAATTCACATTATGGATTAAGCGCAAAAGAATGGAGAGTAAAAGTGAGATACAACTAAATTGATTTACTACCTATTAAAATCTTTGAATCATTGTAATTTAGTAAATTATAATTTATCATCATTATAATTATTGTATATTTGCTTTAGTGTTATTAATTTTACTATTATTATATTAAGATAATATAACAGTTGATTTAAAATAATGTTTGTATCATATAATTAGATTTAAAATAAATTTAATTAAATCACCAATTATTTAAAGTACATTAATTGGGAGTATGAATATATTTATTTATTATAATTAAATTTATTAATATCAATATACTACTATACAACATTGTATTAATTAATTTTTTCTTTTCTAAAAAAAATAGATATATGGTAAATGGTGTGTACAATCAAGAAAGAATTGTTATGTGGCTGTTGTTAAATTATATTATTATTTGATATTAATAAATAAAAAAATTTGTTGAAAAGTAGAAACAATTTCAAATCTTAAAAAGGTGCTTCTTTTTATTTCTCTTTGCTTTTTATGATATTTTTATAAATGACAATATTTTTATTAATAATTACAATACATTTTGTTAATTCTATTAATGAGACATGGGATATGGGATTGGATTGGATGGGATTTTAAGGATTTGAGTATGGGCAGCAGTATATCCATGTCAGTATCTGCTGACAACACTGATTTCCATAGATGGTGTCTCCAATTAAATATTAATATTTATTCTACCATTATATTGTGCTTTGGAATATATGTTTAATCAATCATATTATTAATATTAATATGGGACAACTCAATGTTACACAAGTCCGCCAAATGGAATTGTGATAATTATTGATATATAACTCAATAAGGCAACATCTACATTGTATGGCATTAATTCATAGTATATAATAAGCCTAATTCAACAAGTCCCAATACTTGTAAATTATTTATAAATTAATAAAATGATAATTAAATATTTTTTTAATTTAAAAGAAGAAATTATTTTTAAAGATTTTTATGAACAATTATGGGAATTAAAGGTATGATTAGTGTATTTATTTATAGAAGCAGTTTTATGCAAAAGAATATATAAATCGTGCTAAAAATTATTATTAATAAAAGATGCACCAAATGTTATAACTTTAGCCAAATTTTCAAAATAAATTTACAAGAACTCAATATAATCTAGAAGATTTCTGAGTCATATATTTTCTACTGTAATTATTGATTTAATTTTTATTTTTATTGATATGGTTTTGCCGATAATTCTTGCTGAAAATTCCAGCACTTGCTTTGGAAAAAGCCAAATTTGCATTTCCAATATTATCACATTTTAAATTCCCGTCTTCATTGCAATATAATTATAATATTTACATTGCTCATTAAAATTAATAAGTTATTGAACTTTTAATAATTTTTGTCTTGAACATTGTTCTTTGACATTATTTTTTTATGATCAATCAATAACCTAAAAGTAGATTCATGCCTTTTAATCAATTCTTCTGGTATTTCAATCTTTGTTCATTCAATTTGCATTGGGCTTTTAAAAAAATATACTTGTAATTGCAATTTTTTTATTCTCATCTTCTGAAAAACTGATGATGATGATTGACGTTCACTGGGATGCTGGAAAAGGACGGGGGACGGGCAGGTGTGGCTTGAACCCGTCCCCCGTCCTTTTCACGTTTGGCCCTTTAATACTAGAAAAGGACGGGCAATGGTACGGTGTTTTTCAAAATAATTAAAAAAGGACGGGCAATTATGAGGGACGGGCGTGGCGCGGGTCAAGGCACAGCAACCC